AAAGTGCACCAGGTTGATGCTTTTAACTTCAATATTTTTTTAAAAATCTTCCCGGGGGAGCATCCCCTCGGACCCCATCAGAGGAGGTGAGGTCCGCCCCCCACTCCCCCCAATAGCACTTTACCCCTGCCTATATGCCGTGAGCTGATTATGGAGCCTTCATTGTAAGAGTAATTCAGATGCAATTAGCCTATATAAAAGGCCTCAAATTGGAAGCATTGTCTGGGCCGTCTTTTTTTTTATACTCAATTCTGCAATAGGTAGATCTCTTCTTTCACCTAGGCCGAGGTCGGTGATCTTGGGCTTAAAAAGGTTGGTGACCACTGCTATAATGTAATGAGACAACCGATTTGTTGTAAAGCAGAAATAATATGGATCAGCTAACAACCCTTAAGAGCAACAATCAACAGACATGAAGGTTATTTTAAAAGATACCTTAAAAACAATTACTTACAAAAGCATGACGTTTCCAAAAAATGTGGTACCACTTTACAATAAGACTANCTTTTTCTGTAGCTAAATTGCATCATTCTGGCGTCTGTGGTTATTTAAACATTCCCTGCTACACATTATTCAGCGTCAATAAATGAGTGCTAATCCCAGTGTGCTCAGTGTACAACATCACATGTCATTTCACCTTGGTTCAAGGTTTGAAATCGTATGATTCCGCCAGATGCTAAATGCTAACCGGAAGTGACAAATTTTCAGAATAAAAGTGTTAAACTAATAGTGAGAACTTCCGGTTTTTCAGAATAAAACTGATTTAAATCAAATAGTGTATTTAATTCAAATTACGCCATATCAACATTGATTTTAATTTCTAACACTACCCTTATAAAGGCTTTACGAATAGTTTGTAATTCATTTATTAATTAGGTTGTGAACACTTTATAAATCATTAATAAGCTTTTATAAGACATGAGATAAACAGGGTGACTGTGACCGGTTGCTTGCCAAATAGTGAGCCCACATTTATCTGTACTGCTAAGCCTTATTAGAAATGGTAGTAACTCGTTAATAAATGGGAATGTGTTTCACACTTTACAATAAGGCTCCCTTTTGGCAGTTGTAAATGTTAGTAACTCATAAATAAATGGTCATAAAGAGATGCCAAGAAACGTCAAGATGGAAGGGGGGGAATCAACTCAGTGAGCAACAGATACCAAGGATGCTGGCTGATGAAGAAGACGAAGTAAGCTAAGTACCCAATATAAGACTTAGCAGTACAGATAAATGTTGGCTCACTATTTGGCAAGATGACTAAGCCTTATATTGGCAACCTAACTTACTTCGTCTTCTTCATCAGCCAGCATCCTTGGTATCTGTTGCTCACTGAGTTGATTCTCTCTAAGTAGCCAGTATAAGGCTTAGTCATCTTGCCAAATAGTGAGCCTGTGTCGATGTATGAAAATGTAAGTGTTTACAACCTAATTAATAACTTAATTATAGACCCTTTATGAATCCCTTATAAGGGTAGTCTTATTGTAAAGTGGTACCAATGTTTCTAACTTTCATTGACTGAATTTATTTGAAAAGTGGGCTTATTAACACATGACTACCACTGTGTGATATATTCCATTATACTTTTTGAATTTCTGAGGGCCGCTTCAAAATGGCCCTAGTTTGGACACCCCTTCTTTATATAAATATTGCTCTTCTAACTGATATGCCCCCTCCTCTCTCTTCAGGTCAGCCTCACCCTGCGGCCCCTGAGCTCCAGGACCCTCACAGCAGGAGGCGGCGAGCGTCTCCAGGTTTCCCCCCCCACTCCCGCTCTCAGTCCTGCCAGCGAGTTCCTCTCTTCGTTGACTTCGAGGAGATCGGCTGGTCCGGCTGGATCATCTCTCCCCGCGGATACAACGCCTACCACTGCAAAGGTTCCTGCCCCTTCCCTCTGGGGGGCAGCCTCAAAGCCACCAACCACGCCACGGTGCGCTCCATCATGCACGCCCTCAAACTGTCCAGCGACGAGGTGGAGGCCCCCTGCTGTGTGCCCGACAAACTGCAGTCCATCAGCCTGTTGTACTTCGACGACGACGAGAACGTGGTTTTGAAGCAGTACGACGACATGGTGGCGTTAAGCTGCGGCTGTCACTGACACACTGACTCCTGACACTGAGACAATGAGACCACGCTTTGAGTAAAACACTGTCTTTTTTCGTGCATATGTGTAGATATTGTATTATGTTGAGAAATAAAAAGATTATTCCTCAGATTTTAATCAGCAATCCAGTTTAGTTTAGTCCTGGGATTCCAAAACCATCTCCTGGAGTATTACCAAATAGATTTAAAATGAAAATATATTGTTCTATTTCATACTTACTCCTTAACACTGGGACAATGAGGGGTGGGCGGACGACACTTTCAATAAAACACTGAATCTTTCGTGCACATATATAGATATTGTATAACGTTGAGAAATAAACGATTATTCCTCAGATTTTAATCGGCGATCCAGTTTAGTTTAGTTTGGATTCCAAAACCATCTCGTGGAGTATTACCAAATAGATATTGTTTTAACTATCCATACTTGAGATGATCTTTTGCTCTTAGTAATTATATATTGAAGGTACTAACGAACATCATTTACTCGGGTTCCCATGCACCTTAAAGTCTCTAATGTGCACCGGACTTTGATTTGTTGATCACTTAGCCATATGTTAAGGGGTTTATAAATCACCTAATCTCAATCTCATTTAGTTGTTGTTGTTTAGACGTCCTTAACCTAAACAAGGGTATGGATCGGTTAATTTAATTTGATCACGTTGTCAAGCTGTGACGCTGCAAGCCAAAAAGATGTCGTAAGGCAACATTTAAATAGCATGAAATGAACAGAAATGTAAATAGTCCGAATGAATACCCAATGCACAGGCGAGCGAAAAATGTTGAGACATAGTTTAGAAACATTAATTGGTGTTCAGTTTTAATAACATTTACAATTAAAATTTGAGCTGAAAGGGGAGCTGGAGTGTGGACAAGAATCTGGCTTTTTTTCTCTAAAATTGTATTTGTGTTGGTATTTGGAAAGGCCCATATTCACTTTCTTATCTATTTACTGCCGCTACTGACCAGCAGATGGCGAAATAGAGGTCTGGTTGTAGATCTCAAATCACTCCATTACTGTACATTTACAGAATCTGGATCAGATTGTGATTATATTTAGAAAAACAATCTCAAAATACACAACAAGGGAAATTATAGAACCACATTAAACCTGTTCCGAATTGTCCACTCAATTAATTTGCATTATCTTATTAATTAAAAATGAAAATACCCAATGGTTTGCAAACATTTGGGTTCAATAGCCCGCCAAGATAATTATAAAATAATAATGACCTCTACTTTAATTTTACTCTAATTAAAACACCAATAACACCAACTTCAATTCATTATATTGAAAAGACGTTAGAGGAAGAACAGTGAAATGAAAGGCAACATAAGAATAAAACTCTGTAACAACAGTTGTTTTTATTGGAATGGATCACAGACACAATACAGCCCTGCTTTATTCTAGTTTAGAAAAATGCCAATGCAACAAACGTGCAAATCCCAATTCTCCGTCATGTCTTCTGCATATTAAAAAACATTGATTGCACAAATGCCAGTTCAAGCTTTTAGGCAATATAAACAAAAAAAATAGTTTTGTATCAAACACAACTGTAACTGCAATTTCAACTTTAGCATGCAAAATGATTTGAGTGTTTAGTCGTGCTGACATGATCAGTTAAATTCATTTGTTGAGCCAGTTCTGTTTGTCTCAAGTATCTCTAATGATAACTTTAGTGACTGCAAACTGTCTGGTGAAAAAGGAAATCTCAAGGCAGGTAATAAAACAAAATACCAAAAAGAGGTGGAGACCCCAAAAAAACTGTTGCAATTAAAATAAATACTCCACATTTACATAAAAGCTTTCCGTCTCTGTTTACATTTTAATACATTATGTACATGGATCACCCATGTCCCGTATGTTTGTCAAAAATTGCACATTATCCTTAAACTCGCATTCAAACAACAGCATACGACAACATCTATAAATAATTTACAATTCTGTCGGTTCACAATCAAGTCAAAATCCTCACAAACCAACCGGGGCCTGCACAGCTTCTTTGTCTCGTGTAATTCAAGGCAAGAAAAGAAATGCAAGGATCAGAAACTTAACCTAAAGGAGGAAATCCACCCTTTAACTGTTCAAAAGGTATTGGCAAAAGAGCTTAAGCGGAGGGTGGATCTTTCCTTTCATATCTCATGGCCTATCAGCTTGGACAGTCAAGCTCCTCTGTGCCTAGAAACTCTCCTAACATGTGGTCGGGTTGACCATAAACAGGCTCTAAATATTGATGTCCCTCATTACAGTGCATTTGCCTCATCCGTGGCTCCATATGAGAGGCTTGGATGGTAGATGCATGAGTCATTGGAGACAGTGGCACCGGTACGAAGCTGTGGTAAACGACCATAGGCTGGGTCAAAACCTCCAAGGTGGAAGCCTGAGGAACAGCGCCCTCTGGTGGCTGGACTGGAAGCTGCACATAGCTTCCTGTTTCTGGATCAAAGAAGGTTTTTGTCTTGACTTGTACGGGCATGTCTACAAAGAAGTACTGCCCGGTGTCAGGGTCCTGGAGGAGCTTACGTTGGGTCATTGGAAAGGATTGTGTAACAATGGCGTGCTCGATGCTAGACTGGCGAGAAAGCTGGCTGGTGTGGCTGCTGTAGCTCGATTGACGCGAGAGATTTGCGGGATTGGGGTTGGGGTTAGGGTTGGGGTTGGGGTTGTGGTTAGGGTTAGGGTTAGGGTTGGGGATGGGGTTGGGGTTAGGGTTGGGGTTGGGGTCGGGGTTGGGGTACACATCAATACTGTGACTCCTCCTGGTTGGGTTATCTCTGCTCGGCTTTTCTTTGGCTCTCCCTCTCTGCTGAAGCTCGTCCATGATGGATTTTTCGATGCGTTGGGTCCTCGTATCGAGCTTCTCGTTCATAGACGTGTCGTTGCTAAGCCTGCGCTCCACTTTTCCCCCTAAGTACCTGTCAATGCTTTGGGATCGGTTGAATGGCCTGTCCGACGTGGGTCTATCGCTTTGCTGACTTTTGTACACAGGTACGTTACTGATGACCCTATCACTACTGTAGTGTCTTTGCTCTGGTTTATCTCGAATGTGCTTATTGCTGCTGCGACCTGGCCTTTCTGATTCCACATTGGGAAGCGCTTCATTGTTCTGGCGACTGCTTTCCACAGCATCATGGCTCTGTCTCCGAGTCTTCTGGCGCACGTCTGTTTGATTTTGATGATGGTTTTCACTTCTGTCGCCTCTTCTATCACGGGGTGGTTGTTCACTCTGATCTTGACTGTGTTTGCCGTGGTTACTTTCATTGTGACGATGACCATCTTCAGTCTTTTCTCTGTTTGGTCTCTCACTGCTCTTGCTACTGCTTTTGTGCTCAGATTTGTCGCTCTTGTGTCTCTCCGCTCTGTGTTTGCTGCTGCTTTGAGACGGCTTGTGGGAGGTCTTCTGTGCCGCCTCCTCCTTCTTAATTCTTCTAGTTGCGATCTTAATGGCTTTGAGAACAGCCTTTTCAGATTTGGGTAAGACAACTGGTGGTTTAGGCAACCCTGTTTGGCTTTCACTTCCACTGCAGGTGGACCCAGACCGCTCGCTGGGAAGCTTCAACACCAAAGCGCTCATTCCCATCTCATCAGCGGTGTCTGCTGCGCTGGTTGAGAAGCTCTCCACGCCTTCAGACAACGGACTTACCCCAGACAATCTGTCCTCCTCCAGTGGGACGGTGAGGAACCCTCCAACCTGTGGTTTCTGTGGGCTTTCGCTTTGTAGATCTGACGGAGAAAGCGGCATGGGAGATGAAATCTGTAATTGAATTTCTTCAGGTTTGAAGATTTCATCTGGTATTGGTGTGCAGCCCCTGGTGTCAGGTTCCTTAGCCAGAAGAAGGTCTAGATGGTCGTTTACTTGATGTACCTCCTCTCCCTTCTCTGAACCACTCAGACTCCCTCTTGGTGACCATGGTTGAACTGTCTTTGACCTCATCTTATTGGTGAAAGTGTTGTCTTTGACCTTAAATAGGGCAGGGATCCCCAACGTTGGTGAGATAATATTGGAAGGTGACATTGGGGTCTGATTATTTCCATCATGATCGAAGGTTTCTGTAGTAATGTCTCTTTCCTTGCTGTCGCTGAACAGTACTTCTGTCTCTTTTTGAGGAGACTGTGTTTGTGGTTTTACAAGCTCCGGCTCGTTTTCATGATCACTCAAAGAATAATATTCCAAGTCCATCCTATCCGAATCTTCTTTTGTGTTTCGTGGAATATCCCGAGTGTCTTCATCAACCTCATCCTCCTCTCCGATCAAGTTCTCCAGAGAGTGGTAGACATTTGACTCTGTCTCCGTATTTCTGTGCAGTGCACTCTCCACAGAGAAGTAAGATGACTTTGAAGACAAGCTGCCTTGATCAGGTGGGCTCTGATTGATGCTAACACCATTTACAAGCAGTAAGGGTGATATTATATCCCTGGGAATGTCTCCAATAGCCTCTGCATGCCCATTTGTTTCCTCGCTAGCTCTATTTGTCGTTTCAGGTTCTACTGCCACTAAATGATTAGTTACGTTATCACCCGGTGTGTTTAAATGATCTGGTCTTAAAGGAGCTTTTCGCTTAACTTTTTGTTTTTCCTGTGCCCTGGCATTTCTGTTTTCAAATGTGGCGTCCTTTGTTGGACTCATATCTACTTGCAAGTGTATTGCCTCCATTTCTTTGACAGGACTAGTTTCACTTTGAACAGGATCTCTTTTGAATAAGTCTACTTCTTGTTTGACCAAGCCTGTACTCCTCAGCTCATTAAATTGTGCCTCTTCATATTCATACTTTAAACCTTTGTCGAAGACGTCTTTCAAACTATCCGTGTCCTTTGTAACACTTCCTCCCTTTTTGATTCTAGGAGGAACAGGGGGAGCATCTGTCTTGTTGCCTTCATTGTTGCTCATCAGACTATCTCCACTCTCTTCAGATATCTGTCTCGAAATGTCTCTCAAATTCACCTCTTCTGATTCGTAGCTAGGGTCTTCAATTGTTTCGATGCCAGGTAGAGCAAACCTACCACCTGATCTGTGACTCTCACTGAGTCCTGGTTCTGTTTGAGAAAGGATCTGTCTCATGTTATTGTGGTCTCTGAGATCACCTAACCTCTCTTTTAGTGCAACAGTGCTGCCATTTTGTTTTTCTGTCACCTCTGTCGTAGATTCGTTCGTTGCTTGTTTACGTAGCTCTGCCCTTGTTCCATAACTTTCCTCAGCGTCCTCATCAAACATTGGATTTGCATTTTGTTCTGTGGGTCTATATTTTCTCTTCTGCCTGTCTGAAATAATCTCTTCGAGTGCCATTTTTGCTCTGTCATAATTGTCATTTACAAGTACTTTGTTTACTTTGACGTTATTGTCAATCTTTGTGAACGTTTCTTCCTTGCCTTGATACTTTTCTTTCTGTGAAAAGATGTCTCTCTTAGACATCGTGTTACCTCTCATAGACAGCATACCCTTCTTAATATTTCTTAGCTCCCTTGAAATCAAATCATTCTTAGTTTTCGTCTCCTCATCTAATTTAAAGGCACTTAATTTCTTCTTTGCGTTCTCCAGAACACGATCGCCAAGCCTTACTTTCCCCAGCTCTTTCAAAGCATGCAAGTCACTAATAATATGCTCGCTGTCCCTCATTTCTCTGGGTGAAATGGCTTCGTCCTCCACTTCCCTCCCATTGTTCACTTTCAGATTCCTTTCCTCAAACTCCCCTCCTTGTTCTTCATCACTCACCGCATATCTTTGATTTTTGATGTAGTTGTTTTGTCTAGCTGAGAATACATGTTTGGGTTTACGCTGTTTCTCGATTGTTTCCTTTTCATTAAAATCTAATTTTGCATCACCTGCATGTCCATTAGTGAGCCTGTCAACGTTATATGTTAGCTGGTTGTCAAGAGAGAGTTGGATATCAGATATAGCAAAGTTTCTCTTTGGAACTGGCGGGGGCTCTTTTTTGACGATGTCTACCGGTGTTGTTTCATTTCTACTTTGAGATAAAACATTGCTGTTTTCTGGTACTGAACTTTCTCTGTTGCGGCTGAACATTTCTTTAGAATAGGACCTCCTATCCATGTCTCTCTCCCTCAGTTCTTCTGTATCTGAAACAGGCTTATTGATGCTATCTGACTGAGCTGAAGATAGAGCTTTATTTTTGGCTGCATGAATTGCTTCCCTTGCTGCTCTGATCACATCCTTTGTACTGAGTTGGCTACTAGAAACCTTTTCTTTAGAGCTTTCTTTGATGTCCTTTGCAGGTCGTTTGGCTTTTTCTGGTACATTTGGTGTTCTTTTCCCTACTGATGCATTTGACGACAACCCCTCTTTCTCAAGTGCAAGAGGGGAAACTTTAGGTGAACGATCTTTGTTGACATTTAAAGTATTCGGTGAAAGCCCTGTGTTTGTTGGCAGTGCTTTTGGAAAGAGCCCTTCGTTTAGCGAGAGTGGTGAAAGGTGATTCGTCTCACTTGGGTCGTCTGTGTGAAGTGGAGCACCAGGGCTCGGAGGGAATACAAGATATTTCACATCACTGTCAATAGGGTTGGCTTTCTTGTACAAATTCAGAGACGGATAGTTTTGCTTTTTAGCTTTGGGACTCCTTTTTGATTGTATAAAGGGGGATATTGGGTTATCCTCACCAAGACCACCTGATGCCTCCTTTTTGTTTTGCAGTAGATTTGCTAACAAATAATCGTCTGAAAGAGGTCCATCTGCATCTTGCTTAGTATGACCAACTATTGGGGTGCTGTTAGATTCCAAAACGGGAGTGCAGACTGTCAGTCCATCTTTGAAAATGGCAGGAGTGCTTAATCCTGACGCGTAACCCTCAGAGCCAGCTTGTGGATATCTCAGAATATCAGAGCGTGGGGATTGGGTGCCACTCTCAGGCACTTCTAATGTTTTGAATTTAGGAGGGCTGTAACGGCTTTTCACCCTTTTCCTGTTGTCTTTGAGGTTGAAGAGGATGCTCGAGGCGAGTGATTTGTAGCTGTCCCGTTTGACTGCAGGTTCAGGGGTCATTTTGGCCTCGGAGTGCGGTCTCAGTGGGAGGTCTAGTGCAGATGGCGAGAGGACCATTTGAAGGATTTCTGATGTTTCTGTAGCTTGTCTGGAGGGAATAAAGGGAGTCATCAGCTGGCAGATGCTGAACGGAGTAGACGCCAAAGAGCTGACTTCCTCAATTGCTTTCACCTCCACATATCTAGCTTCTTTCTTTGCCAACCAAAGACTTTCCTCCAATGTTTTTAAGCTGTTTTCTTGGATGGGTGGCCCAAGCTGGTTGCCTGGAATCACACTCGTTGCCCTGGATCTGTTTCGCCTCCAGGGGGCAGTACACCCCTCCCCTCCTTCTGATGAGCACCTCTTCCCAGCAGGAGTGGCTGCAGGCTTTGGCAGGACTTTTGGAGGAGGAGGGGGAGGGATGGGTTTAGGAGCAGTGGGAGGAGGGGGGTCCGGGGCTGCTTTATGGCATGACTGCACCTCCTCTTCATGCAGAGTGTCTTTTCTGTGGGCCTCTGTGAGCTCCTTGTAAAAAGACAGGTCGCACCATTTTGGGACATTGTCTGTGGGGAGAATAGAAGTGTCCTCTTGGCCAAAAGGGAACTGGTTCAAATCCCTCCAAGCTTGAAAAGGGCTAAACTCGCTGTGGAGGAAAAAGTTCTTGATGTTAAGTTTCCTTACTTTGACAGTAGACTTCCCATTTTTGCTCTTTGAGTACAGGCTAGCATCCTTGCTTGTTTTGTTAGATGATCCATCTCCAGACTGACGCGTCTTGTTATGTCCATCTGGAAAATTGCTGTGATAATCCGTGGAGAAATCCGATAACTCTCTCTGTATGCTGCGAAGTGCAGACTTATCCCACGATTCCCCCTTAGTGTCAGTCAAACCTCCATTGTTGATCAACATCCCATCACAGCTTCCCTCTGTTGCACTTAATGCCTTGAGGAAAGACGACATGTTGGATATGTTCTTCTGTTGCTGCTGTTTCCATGGCTGGGCAGTTTTGTTTTGCTCTTGCTTTGTAGGTTCCTTGGGATGACTCTTTTTATGAGGATCCCCCACCAAAGGTTTGTGGCAGCTGAAAGGTGAGAATCCATACAATAACTCGTCATTGTAAACCGCGTCATCTCCAACGCAGAGGCTTCGAAAGGCCCGATCGGTGAGAGTGCTGACCTCTCGATCGGTCTCGTCCATGAACAAGTCGGTGAAGCCATTTGGGAAGCGATGGTGGAGCATGCTCCCCGTCCGATGGCTCACGTGCCGCTTATCCACACAGGTCATGATGCCAACAACCTTCGTTCTGTCTCATTCATCACCTGTCCTGCGGCCCCTACAGCTCCTGCAGCTCTGTAGATCCTTTGGTTTTCGTCCAGCTCAGGTTAACATTGGGGGAGTGGTGGGATATGTCAACTTTCTAAAACGAGAGAAAGTGAAATCAGTGTCAGTTGCAAACATTTAACTCACACATTGTAAACAGTTATCAATCTAGAATTTGTGCATTTCAAAAATTCCCGATATATCGAATGAATTTTGTGAACGTTTTTGAACTCTGTGATGACCTTTATATACCCGATATGTGTCTTCGTTGCCCGTGCTGTCACTATGCGGGCAGCAGACAAACACTTCAAGCCATGCGCTTTCCTATTTTAAGCCCTGTATGGTTCCTAAAGCTGTGAGCACTAATCACACTGTGGGTAACACAGTATGAGAACAGTCCATGTATTCAACATTGTCATTGAACATATCCTTTGCAAATGCAATCACATCTGTTTCATGTTTAATTGGCTGATAAATAGACAGGTTATGTTGAGCTCCAGGACAATATTCATGTCTACAGGTTGACACCACAGAGAGCAGGAAACGTAAATCAGCACATCAGTCACACAGCAGCTGCTCTACTGTAGCTTACTTTAGCTATCTGGGTGAGGTCTTAGAATAGCTCCTTAACCCATTGATGTGCCCTGACCTGGGAGCATTGCTACTGGCATATAACTCAACTGTTCAACAATCGGCATAAACATGACTCTCCTTATAAGCAGATGAGACAAATATAAACACGGATGTTCAAAGAAAATTGTGTATTTGTATCTGTACACCGAAACTTAATTTTCTCTGTCAAGGGTAAAAGGAAGTGCAAGAAGGTATGTTTACAAGAGCCATAAGATAAAGTATTATTTGTATTATTAATATTGCAAACTATCAAATCAGGTAAAATTGCTAGAAGTAAGAGGCGTTACTGTATCTTAAGCCTGACTCGCAGAATGTTTTGGCTTTCCAGGAGACTTTGCTTGCCAAAAGTCTACCAGCTCTCATAACCAGATATCAGTTAGTAACCGCGGTACTTTCCCAGCATCTGCTCGTATATTTATACCCGAGGAATGAGGAGCCCAGATAACTGTACTGTATATAGGCGTGAGCATTGGAATATGGTCATAAATCCCCCTCATAGACGTTTCAATAGTGTGGTATTGATTTTATAGCAATGAAATCTAGAGTGGTCTTCGTGCTATAAGTCCTTTTTGATACTAATGTCAAAAGAAACTTCTTATAACTTATATTCTGTAGGCTGGCTTGAAGTGTGGTTCATATCTTTGTGAATAGCTTTATTATTACACTGCTTCCTTACCTTGGTGATGAGTCGTTCATGCTGATGGTAACCGTCCAATCTAGACTGTGGTATCAAACGCAAATCCTCCAAAGTAGAATCCAGTGTCGGAACACCTGCTGAAAGTAAGCTCTTGTTACCGCTTGTCATTAATGGTTATCAGAGTCCTTCACTTAAAGTTGAAGAAACAAAACAAAAACTCACCAAAGTGAGTCAAGCACTCAGATCCATGTTCAAATGTAGTGGAGTGGCCGGGGTCCTGATAGCCAGCTCAGAAGATACCAAAATAGACGCAGAAGTCGGTGTGGCCAAACTGAGCAGCAACACAGCTAGCTAGCTCACATTGGAATAACCAGTGGGTGTCGAGTGGCAGGGCAAGGCAGGCCAGCCGGATGAAATGGACACTGTCATTGGTTATTTTTGTAGCCAAGCAGTTAAGGCTGATAGGCTCCCTCATGGACCATCTTTTTAGGAACCTTTAAAATATTACATGTAAATGAGGATCAGACAATGTTTGTCTTGTTGGAGACAATACAGATGGTTGGAGTATACTGACCATTGGCTAAAAATATAGCTTGTCACCCAGGGAAACAGCATTCTGATATAGACCATTGCCTCACACACATTAGCCTGGCAGTCCCTAAGGAGGAGATTATTATCCGTATGTCTGCTGCCTGACTATAGCTGGGCAGGGCTAACACTTGTTGCCCAAGCTCTGTTTACAAGACCGTGATGTGGACATGAAAGTGTATGACTGGGTAGTCTGGTTTTAGGACCAAAGCAGCTGTTGTTGCTGTGAGATTAAGCTAAAATGGAAGGAAGCGTTTTGTTGATTTGTCACCACATGTGAGTCAGAGAAAGTCAATGGATGAGGTCATATGTGAAGGTTGACCTTGTGGATGACCTAAATGGAGAAAGTTGAAAGTTAAATAAATAGCCTACTGCATGGATTTGTTTTTATACCTCATGAGACATCATAATATGCAAAGCCCACATCCTGTATTAAGCATCACTGTCATCTGTATAATACAGTTTAAATACAGTGTTGCCCACAAATGAGATCTAAAAACATGAAATGACAATAGCTGTTGAGCCCTCTTTGACCCCAACAACAACTCCATGGCCTCTGCATCCACAGTGAAGCTGTGCCCCATCAAGGTGCCATATATACACTAGTCTATTTCTGTCATGTTGTATTTCAAAAGGTAACAGCCTGCCTCTCTGACAACTGCCCCGTACACACTTCAGCTTAGCAGCTACATGTTAACCTTGCACATGTTAGTTGACTAGCTTCAAGCAGTAACGTACAGTTTTTTTGCAAAAATGTCTTCAGACTAGCGAACTAGGTTTACTTTAAACTGATGCATACTGTATGAATAAGGTTAGAAGGTTCACTCGAACTGGATATAAACACTCAATGATTTCACTCGCAAATAATGTTGTGGGGAAAAGTCCCTGCCTTATTTTGGAGAGATAGACTTACTTGCTGTTCAGAGTTCAAATACCATGTTGTGAGCACGGACACTGTGGGGACATTTCCCTTTTAATGTCTGTACAAGAGTCTCGTCTAGAATAAGGCCTCACATGGACCTGCCCCCTCCTCATTTATTTTTGCCAGCTTCACAGTTAGCTAATAATCAAAGTTAATAATTTACGATTCATGCTTTGTCCCATTGGAGGGTCGGTTTGTTGTTTTTATTATATTGTGTCTTCTTAGCAAGCTAACCAGCTAGCTACCTACGTAAAAACTGACTACAAAAAACAAAACAGGCATTTCCTTGCTAGCTTAACAGATTCAGTTATGAGAGTTAAAGGTGACATGTCATGCTTTTCCGGTTATTACCCGTCCCCTTGTGTGTTATGAAGGTTTTTCTGCATGTAAACGGTCTGCAGAGTCAAAACCCTTAAAGTACACCCTGTAGCGAGTAAAACTCTAACACAGAAAATACCTCCCCAAAACGCCTCGTTGGTGAAACGTCATCATCCATTTGATTCTTCTGGGTACGTGCTTACGAAAGCACGTACCCGGAACTAAATGGGCCAATCCGTGGAGCCGTTACGTTACGTCCGCGGAGCCGTTACGTTAAGCCCCCGCTGATTGGTCCAAATTGACCAATCCACACACACACTCAGTGCAGGCAGCTCTGCTGATTTCTCCTCCCTGGCTGCAGGCTGATAACAGACAGTTGGGATCGTGGCGAAATTCTCTCTGCAGACCCATTCTCACAGCGTTTATCAACCCCTTTTTCTTACTCAATATCAAGCCACACTTATTGTTTTTATTTCGGCTGTGACTTTGTGTGTGCTCAGGGTGAGTTTGGCTGTGTTTGGCTGTGTATCGCTAAACAAAGAAATCACACCTCCACGGAGCTCAGCGCGATTCACAACGTACAACCAATCAGAGCACACTGGGCTCAGGAGGGGGGGGAGCTGCAGCAGCGAGCCGTTTAGTGGAGAAAGTGAATACTGCTGAATACACATACTTTACAGAGATGCTGTATGCGAAACCAATGTGAGTTTGTAAAATTGCACAGTATTTTTCTATTTTAGTATACCTCAACAATGGAATTATGATCAGTGGAAATGGCCATGACATGGGACCTTTAAGATAAAAAAAAAACACAACAATCAATATATACAAAATAATAGTCACTTCAATATCTTTTGGAAAGTACATTAGTGCACTTTTATGTGGGACATGAAGTCACGTTTCGTATTGTTATTGGTTCAAGCGTATATCCACAATACACCTAAAACGACAGGATCACAACTCGGATAGTGCATAGGCAATGACTGCAACCGACGACAAGTATATTACGTCATCTATAACCGGATAGTGAGCCTGAATGGTACTGATTCATACCAATAGTCATGTATACGATAGGCATGTACCTTCGAACTCTGGGATATCTTCTCCATAATCTCCAGGGTGTAGTTGTCCACACCGGAATAACCTTATAACTCGATACTCAGACAAAACTCCGATAAAAATTCGGTCGAACCGTCGGTCGTCTAGATGACGAGCGTCACTCCGGCGTGCGTCAGTTGGTGGAAGCCGATACGTTACTAAAACGAGTCTTTTACTTACAAATAGGCAGTGAAAATGACATCGCCGATGCCATACCCACCAATTTATCGTTAATGGAGTCACTACTAACTTCACCTAGTTGTTCCTATTTACTGAAAGTTACTTACAGCAGAATGAGTTGTCCTTACCTAAATGCAGTCACACTTTAACTAAACTAATAATGTGATGACATTACCTTCGTCAGACGGTGGTGAAAGACATTCCTTTAGGTTATGAAGTTTTTCATAGACCCATTTGCTGTCACGACAGAAATTCTGGAAGTATTCATAAATAACGATCAAATACGAGGCAAGTAGGAGGGGTTGGGCACTAAAATTTGATATTTCAGTAACGCAATTGTGTTTTGTACAAAATTTCAATAGTTAAGTAATTAATAGTTATTTGTTAAGGTAT